AGCCACTTTTCCCCATCCTGCCAGGCAGGTCAAGCTCTTATTTCCAAGGAAAACCAGTATTTTTATGCAATCCCTGATCAGACACCAAGGCTGAGGCTCATCACCAGCACAAAGGTCCACTGGGCTGCCCCAAACACCCAGGCAGAACCAAAATGAGGTGAGGAACTCCAGGAGCCCCYCTCTGCTCCAGGAGAGCCATGACCACAGCAGACACCAAACCAGAGAGGTCTTTGCTGTGCCAAGGATCCAAGTCACTCTTTTGGGAGATCTTTTGGGATTCACCAGCTCCCTTCTGCAGGGAAGGGTAACGCCAGCACTCACCCGGCCGTAGACGGGGTTGGCAGCAGCCAGGACGCTGCAGCGGGAGTTGAGGCGGGCCTGGATGCCAGCCTTGGCGATGGTGACCCGTCCCTGCTCCATCACCTCGTGGATGGCCGTGCGGTCGATGTCGGACATCTTATCAAACTCGTCGATGCACACCACGCCCCGGTCGGCCAACACCATGGCTCCTGCCTCCAAACGCCGCTCCCCTGGCATGGGATGGGAGAAAAGAGGGTCAACCACCACCCACTGGCCCTAAACATCTCCTGCCCTGCCATCCCCATCACCCCTGGGATGAGGGGGAGCCTCAAGGAGCAGCAGCATCCTTCTGGAGTGCACATCTCCAACCCAACTCAACAGCAGAAGGAACATTTARGATTAGGATTAGGGTTAGGAATGTCTTGCTGTGAGAAAGACAAAATCCAGGCTGCTGTTGGCTTTCACATGGGGTACATCAAGCAGAAGAGGAGTAAAGAAGACCACTTAACAGAGGTGGAAAAAATATCCCAAAACGTGGGATCCCATGACCCTGARTAATCATTACCATAAAGCTTCTTGATGAAGCAAGTCCTGCAAGTGTCAATGCAGAACAAACATCACAAATTTGATTGAGGTTGGAAGAAACTTCTCAGATCACCAAAAACAGGAGTCCTGGATGTCACAGAGTCCCTCCCAGGGGTTAACTAGCATCACCCTGATGCTCCTCACCCGTCTCCTGGTCCGTGGTGACGGCAGCGGTGAGGCCGACGCCGGAGGAGCCGCGGCCGGTGGTGGCGATGGCCCGGGGGGCTGTGCTCAGCACGTACCGCAGCAGCTGGGATTTGGCCACGGAGGGGTCTCCTGGGATGGAGAACAGCACTTTTAGAAACCTCAGATCACCTGGATACCAACTGCACCATCATCCCGTGTCTGGTTTGGGGTGCTCAGAGCAGGRCAGGTGGAGGGGAAAGGGGCAGAAGAGGGTTTGCTCAGAGTTCAGAAAATAAGGTGAGCAGATTAACTTCTCACCATGATCCCATGGGAGGAAATAGAGAAGAGTTAAGAGATTTGAGASGTGATGGGGATGGGACAAGAGGCAATGGGGACAATTTGGAACATAGGAAATCCAAAGTGGATAGTAGAAAGAAATAAAAAAGTCTCCCTGAGGGACTGGCAAACACTAGGATAATGGCTCACRGAGGTCATGGGATCCCCTAGAATCATGAAATGGTTTGGGATGGAAAAGATCTTAAAAGTTCACTTTGTTCGATCCCTTCTGCCATGGGCAGGGACATCTTCCACTATCCCAGGTGGCTCCAAGCCCCATCAAACCTGGCTTTGGACATTTCCAGGGATCCAGGGGCAGCCACAGCTTCTCTGGGCACCCTGTGCAGGGCCTCCCCACCCTCACAGGGAACAATTCCTTCCCAATATCCCATCCAAACCTGCTCTCTGTCACTGAAAAACCATTCCCCCTTGTTCTGGCACTCCAGGCCCTTGTCTCCAGTCCCTCTCCAGCTTTCCTGGAGCCCCTTTAGGAACTCTGAAGTCTCCCTGGAGCCTTCCCAATGCTGGACACCCCCAGGTCTCTCAGCCTGGCTCCAGARCAGAGGGGCTCCAGTCCTGGACTGCTGTCCAAAGTCTTCTCTGGACTCACTGTAACAGGTCCACATCTTTCTTGTGCTGATGACTCCACACTTGGACACATCTCCATCCCTGGAGATGTTCAAAACCAACTGGAGAAGTCTGAAAGCAGCCTGACCCACCAGTGATACCGGCTCAGCCCTGCACACATCCCTGGACCAGGAACCTCCAGATGACCTGGCTAATTTCAGTTACTCCACAGAACTAAATTCAGAATCCTTCACCTGACACCCAACACCACCAACCCAGGGTGCCTCTGCCCAGCCCTCCCAGACCTATCAGCAAGATGTTGATGTCTCCTCGGATGCGGCTCCCGTTCTCCAGGATCTTCTCCACCCCTCCCAGCAGCATGCAGAGAATGGCCTTCTTGATGTACTCGTGCCCATGGATGCTGGGAGCCAGGGATTTGGCCAGCTGGTCAAAGATATCCTAAGGCAGAAGAGGCAGAGCACGGCCCRTCACATGGACTGGAGCAAACAAGAACAAACAATGCTTCAAAAGACCATTTCAGCCCAAATTCCAGCTTATTCCTATCACAGAGCCACGTGGATGAAAATTATTTGGAAAGGAGAAGACTGTTGGCCAGAGTTTCCTTTCACTGGGATTTATCTGAAGTCCTGGACCATCTTGTCACTGTCACCCAAACAAGCTATGGAAGCAGTGAGAGCAACTGCTCTCACAAAGGAAAGCTCTGAGCACAAGAGGCTGGGGTAGAACCCCATTATCTCAGTCTGGGGTTAGAAAAGAGGCATTTCTCCTGAAGAGGAAATTCCCTGGAAACCTGCTGGCAGGGTCAGGAGACAGCAGAGCTGCCAGCAGRAAGGATGCTCTGCAAGCAGTACAGAAGCAGCAAGAAAAACAACAGGACCTCATCACAATCCAAACATAAAATTCGAATAAAATTAGTTGGAAAATTCAACAACATGCTAAGAGGTAAAGAGTTACTTGCAACCCAACAAGAACCTCCTTAGCCACATGCCAAGCTGAAACTTCGTCCTTGGACATGAGACTCGGGTACCTTGGAGCGGCTTTTGCTGAATCTCTTGATCTTGGCCACGTCAGAGGCAGAGTAGAGTGGCCGGACGTCTTTGCTCATCTGCTTCACGTGGCAGGCAATGAGGATGGTCCTGGAGAAGGGACACAGCAGTGGTCAGTTCTGCAAAGCCCACAGAGCCACAGCAACAACACAGCAGGAACTTCCACAGAGCCATCACTGGCCCTAGGAAGCTCTGGAAAGAGGTGGGAAGCTTCAACAGCTGTAGAACCCTTGATGTGGCTGTGCTGGGCTACGGTGAAGCATCTTTAAGAGCATCCAAACCCTTCTGGGCACAGCTGGAAGCCACAGCAATGCATTGTGAGAAGAGACCTCATCAGAGTCTACAGCTTCCTCATGAGGAAAGTGGAGAAGTGACACAAATCTCTTCTCTTTGGGACCAGAGACAGAACCTGAGGGAACAGAAGGAGCTGTACCAGGGAGGTTTAGGTTGGATATCAGGAACAGGTTCTTCCCCGAAAGGTTGGTAGGGTAATGGTAATGGTCACAGCTCCAAGGCTGCCAGAGTCCCAGGAGTGTTTGGACAACACAGGGTGGGATTGTTGGGGTGCCTGCACAGGGCCAGGAGTTGGACTCCATCATCTTTGTGGGTCCCTTCCAACTCAGCATATTTGGTGATTAAGATCAAGGTGCAAACCACTTCCAAGTGATTTAAGCCCATTTGACCCAGCTCTCTGATGGCCATCTGGCCACATCTCACCTTCCTGAGACATCAYTCAACCAAGCAGGATGAGAGGGCTGAAATCCAAAGCAGACCCACCTGAAAGTGCCTGAGGTGTAGCCCCCTTTCTTCCCTGGCAGGCAGCGGTACGTCCCCACCACCTGGATACGGTCCCCGGGCTTCACCCTGTCCACCAGGTCATCGTCCAGAACTACCTCCACTGAGCGGGGCAGCTGCCCTGCCGGGGCCTTCTCAGGCATCTCCTGGATGGTGATGGTCTGGTGGTCCTTGTAGACAGAGAGGCCAAACTCTGTCTCCAGGGGGTTGTTCTCTTCATCCTAAAACAGGAACCCAAATAAAAAGGTGAGCATCRTTTTTCAAGAGCAGAGGGAAGAGTGGTGGGATCAGCTGAGCAGGGAAAAGGCTGCATCACCTGAGTGATGGGAAGGGTTGTTTCAGCAGGTCTGGAGGTGGGGTTCACCAGCTCCACATCAAAGCTGGGACATTCCCCCCAGAGCAACCTGGTGCTGCTTCACCTCACCTTTGTAGGGTAGATGGCGGTGGATGGGAAAGCATCCAGGGAGGTCATGTCTGTGTATCGGCGCTCAATCGTCTTCTTGGTAGCTGGGCAATAATGGACGCTCCGGACGACTTTTGGACGCACCAGAGAGCCTGGGGTAGGAAAAGAGAGGAGTGAGGGGCTGGGATATCCCATCCCTATCAGCAGACAGCCCCAGCATGGTCTCCAACACTAAAATAACTTGGGTAAAACATGGACAGGATTTGCCRATTTTAAAGACCATCCCAACACTCAAGTCCTTCTGCCGAGCTCCCTGTTCCCTGGCTCAGATTGCCAGGACACAGAATCATTGGATGGTTTAAAGATAATCTCATTCCACTCCCTCTGCCACGGGCAAGGACACCTTCCACTATCCTGGGTTGCTCCAAGCCTGGGACACTTCCAGGGATTCAGGGGCAGCCACTGCTTCCCTGTGCCAGGGCCTTCCCACCCTCAAAGGGAACAATTCCTTCCCAATATCCCATCTAATCCTGCTCTCTGTCAGCATGAAGCCATTCCCCCCTGTCCTGTCCCTCCAGGCGCTTGTCCCAAGTCCCTCTCCATGCCAGGTTTCCTGGAAGGCTCTAGCTCCCTGGCCCCTCCCAAAGTCGCTGGGTGTCCCCCAGGCTCACACTTTGTCACGATGCCCTCCACGCAGACGATGCAGCTGAGGAAACAGGCTGTCAGTGTCCGTGGGGACACGTGCTTGGAGCCAAAGCTGCCCTCCAGCCCGATGTAGAAGTCCTCGTACTGCTTGGCGTAGGTGGCATCGACGGAGGCGACGAAATCCTTCAGGGCRCGCTGGAAGGCGATCAGCTCCTCGAAGGCATTGCTCAGGAGCCTGCAGCACAGGGAGRTGACAAAGCAAATGGGTCATCCCCTTCCTCCTCAACACTTTTATCACATCCCCATTTGCTCCACAAGTTTAGCAGGAGCAGGAGGTGAAAAAACCCCGAATCCAAAGTCCCCAATCACAGCTCTGTGTGAGATCTCCCAGCACCAACAGCCAGGAGGAGAACAATTCCAAACATCCTATCTAGAAAGCCTTACATAACCCTGGCAGACTGGCAAGCCTGGTTCAAAATATCCCTGRGCATCCTAAAAAAGGCTGAGACARYTGGGGYTRTTCAGCCTGAGGAAGAGAAGACCTTACAATCCCTTTCAGTSYCTAAAGGGGCTCCAAAAGAGCTRGAAAGGGGCTTTGGGCAAGRGCCTGGAGTGACAGGAAAAGGTGGAATGSCTTCAYAYTGACAAAGGACAGRKTTAGATGGGATATTGRGAAGAAATTGTTTCTGTGAGRGTGATGARGCCMTGGCTTTCACCRTAGGACAAGGTTTGGCTCTTTCKTGTGACAAATGACCTGCAGGACCAGGGCTGGACCTTTGAAGCCCCTCTCAGGCCCAGTGCCCCAGGTGACCCCGGTGCCCCACACCCACCTGCTGGCTCTCTTCTCATTCTTGCGCCTCAGGTCGTTGATGTTGACGATGAGCCGATACTGGTTGTCACTGATCATATCCCGCACTTTGCTCTGGTAAATCCCTTGGTCCTCCTGCAAGTGGGAGTGGGGGAAAAACAGCTAAAAAACCCAACTCAGTTTGCATGTTTGCCTGTGTGAGACGATGTCCAAGAGCCCATTCCTGCAGAGCTTCACTCCCTTCATCCCACTGGCTAAGCAGGAAGGGGCAACACAGGAAGCAGGTGCTCCCTAACCCCTGGGGGAATGGAGGGACACAGGGGCTCCCTAACCCCTGGGGGAATGG